TCTTTATGGACTGAAACAGTCGCCACGAGCCTGGTTCTCTCGCTTCAGTGATGTAGTCATACGATTGGGGTTCACCAGGTGTCATTCTGATCATACCTGCTTTATTCGACGGAATACCTCTGGACAGTGTGTCATCCTTCTGGTATATGTTGATGATATTATTATTACTGGTGATGATGTTTCTGGGACTGCGCAGGTCAAGATAGACCTTGGGAAGGCCTTCGATGTGAAGGATCTTGGATTTCTGCGATACTTTCTTGGGATTGAGGTTGCCCGTAGAAGCAGAGGTATTGTTCTTTCTCAGAGAAAGTATGTTTTGGATCTTCTTTCAGACACTGGGATGTTGGGGTGCAAACCGGCATCATCACCTATGATTCCAAACCTGAAGCTTACTGCTGAAGGTGAGGAGTTGAAAGATCCGACAGTTTATCAAAGATTGGTAGGTAGACTTATCTACTTAGCCAATACTAGGCCGGACATTTCATTCGCAGTCAGCCGAGTTAGTCAGTTCATGCATAGGCCATGTCAGCCTCATCTTGATGCAGTTTATCATATTCTTCGGTACCTCAAGTCTTGTCCTGGACTTGGGTTGTTTTATGCATCAGGATCTCAGACCGGTTCTCTAGCCTGTTATTCAGATTCAGATTATGGGGGAGCATGTGATGGTCGATCTACTACGGGTTTCTGTGCTTTTCGAGGGACTCATCTTATCTCTTGGAAGAGCAAGAAGCAGGCAGTTGTCTCCCGCTCGTCTGCAGAGGCAGAGTATCGGGCATTGGCACTTGGCACATGTGAGATTATCTGGCTACGATCGATTCTTGACGAGTTGGGTTTTTCAGTGACCTCTCCATCCACATTATATTGTGATAATCAATCTGCTATTCAGCTCGCTTCTGACTCTGTACTACATGAGAGAACGAAGCATATAGAGATCGATGTTCACTTTCTTCGGGAGAAGGTCAGCAGTGGTCTTGTTACTCCATCGTTTGTGGGGACCAGTGATCAAGTTGCGGATGTTTTTACCAAACCTGTCACTCTGTCTATTCTTCGGGACTCCGTTGTCAAGCTTGGCTTAGTTGACATTTTTGCGCCTAGCTTGAGGGGGAGTGTTGGAGTATAGATAGTAGTCTAGGTTTATTAGGATTTCTTTTCCCTTTTTTACCCTTACTATGATTTTTATATTTTGCCTAAACTACAAGGATGTTTAAGTCACTCTGTATTATTTTTGGCTATATATACGGGACTCTACTTTGAGTTTGAGTATCTTTCACATATTCCAAGTAAACATAACATGGAGTCTTTGACTCCTTTGAGTGCAGACTGTCCATTCATCTAGAAAAGAATTTTTTTTAGAGTCTTTGACTCCTTCACACATGGAAAGAAGAAAAAGCAAGAACATGAATGTTATTTGGAAGGAACCAGAAAGCATAAAACTACATTCTAAAGTTGTATACCAATTGCAATTCCTAGTGATGTACAGCTTAAAAGAAGAAAACAACTGTGAGTCTTTCGAAATAATTGGAGTTTTTAACTACTCTTATTTCCTTTGGTTTTGGCAGTTCACTACACGACTACAAGAAAGACCTTGCAAGACTCCCAAAGTTCCAACCCTCCTTTCCGATGGCTTTGCAACATGAAATTATGTTATTTCAATTTTCCACAGAAAATTTTAAGAAGTCGACTAAAGGAGTTCCTAAGTCCTTGCAACACTACAAAAATTTCAAGACTCAAACAAGTTTGGGTTCTTTAAGAAACCCATAAAACTGAGACGAGGAGTCTTCATTTAGGTAGCTCCATGCTGTTAACCAAATTTTTGTCAAACTCATTTTTGGCATGCCCACGCAAGATATATATATATATATAAGTGAATCTATTCACCTGAAGGTTGATAAACCAACCCACTAATTTCAAGTATTCCGTTTTTCAAGCGGGTGTCGCCAGGATTTGTGTGAAATCAAAAAAAAAAAAAAACACTCATACATGTCAAAAGTTCTTTTTAAAACCAAAGTGCGGTGGCAATGGGTCATTCACCCACTTTAAACCAAATCAAATTCAACTCCAAATTTTGGGGCACTCACGCCTTTCAAATCAAATCAAGTAAAATTCCAAATTAGATGAGTCTTTCACTCATTTAAAAGCCCAATCAAATAAATTTCAAATTCTTCTTTCGAACTACGTCTGACTTCATTCCATTTTTGGATACGTAGGCAGTCCAGCATGTACCCTAGATACAGTTGCATTCCTAAATAAAATTTTTTTTTGAACTACGTCCGACTTGATTCCATTTTTGGATACGTAGGCAACCCAACAACTACCCTGGACACAGTTGTAATTCCAAATCACATTCAAATAAATTTTAAATTTTTTTTCGAACTATGTCCGACTTGATTCTATTTTTCGAATACGTAGGCAGTCTAGCTTCTACCCTGTGCACAGTCGCATTCCTTAATAAAATTCTTTTCATGAACTAAGATTAACTTGATTCCCTTTCGAATATGTAGACAATCTAGTTAAACTAGATGCAATTTCAATTCCTCCACAATCAAGTGGTTCTTAAATCCATATCAAATCAAATGATCATTTACCCATTTCAAACATAACGGACATTTTGTCCATTCAAGATCAATGGGTCATCTACCAGTTGATCTTACCCAAAAAAATAATAATAATAATTTAATCTCTCAGAACTATGAATTGGCTTGATCCTGATAACGGGTACGTAGAGCAGCCTAGGCAATTAACCTACGTCAAGTCACCATCACAAATAAAATGTCCTTGTGGTGTGAATGGTAATGTATGATAATTTCTCATTAGAATCAAAGAGTGTTCTCTTGAAGCAATAGATTATAATTAATGGATATATTCTATCTGGAATGGGTTTAACCTACATTTAATAAAACTCGTATAATTCTTCATTATATGAGTGAAGTCATGTTCGGCAAAATATTCAAATTTTTGCACAACATGGTTTTTGGCACACCCGATGGGACCCATTTTTCCTTTCATCTCTAACTTTGAAAATTAATTAGTGCTTTATTTTTGTTACCTTCGCAGGTTCATAATGGCACCACAAGTAACTGTTTATTACCACAAACTACCTTCATCAATGCAAGTTCATGGGAAAAATTCAAAGAAGGTGACACATCGTGCATCTTTCAAGATTGATCAGTCAAGAATCTCTAGAGCAATTCCAAAAGTCAATGTTGGGATCCAGGGGAGGAAAAGCACCAAAGCTACACCTAAGAAGGCTATCAAAGTCATGCCAACAATTGCTAAGGCTACTCATATAGAGGTTCCAGAAATCACCCCAGTCTGTCAGCCTACTCAAATTTTGATTGGAACCATACCAATCAATTTGCCCTATATTGTATCAGTGATGGCAACTTCTATGAAAAACAAGGAGGGTACTCCTCCTTCTACGCCAAGGGTGAAAGCTCCTAAGGCTTCTCAGGATACGCTACCACAAGGATAGGCTACCCCGAAGTCTGTTGTTACTAGTCAATCAAAGGTTACATCTCTAGTACAATTTAGACCAAGAGCAATTAAGCTTGGTTCACCACCTGCATCTGCTAAATGAAAGAGTCCAAAATTTTCCTATTCCAAAATTCAAGGATCAAATTCGAATATTTCCATCAAGGTCCTTTCTAAAAGGAACCCTTACAAGAAGAGGGGATCCAAGAAGCAATCAAGGGGCCCAGAAACCCAATCTATACCTTAAGCTTCCTTGTTTCCATTGATTGCCATAAGTGTTGAGCGATCCAAGAATGCACATTCAGACATGGAAGCTCATAAATGGGCTTTCCTTTCTTGATACATGGATGGCCAAGGAAGCTCACATTTCATCAAGGGTAGACTACTTCCCAAGAGAATAGACATAAATTTACACAGGGCCTATCACTCGATCAAGAGCTCGGATAATGTCTCAGCCTTTTTTTGAGGAATCTGTGACCTCAGATGAATCCTTAACAACTAAACAGGATTACTCATCATCACAAGCTACCTCAGAGGAATCAATAACATCAAATCAACATGAACAAACCATCAGCTCAATGTCAAGTTCAAATAATCCTCTTTATGGAGATCCTAAAGCTTTCTTCCAAGAAGAGGATTTTTCAAATGAGTTGGGACATCAGTACCGAGAAAAACTAAAAATTGATCAAGAATTTGACTCAAAGGATATGCCAATTTTTGTTACATGCACGTCAAGTATTGAGGAGCAATTAAGTGAGATGAAAAAAAAATTGGTAGAGAAGGATGTTGAGAAAGCTACCCTCACAGCTCAACTGACTAGCCAAGCTAGCGCTTTAGCAAGAGAACATGTTCAAACCACTGAAGAGCCTCAAACTTCTACAATGCCAGTCACTCAGGCAGATTTGAAAACATTAATTACTAATGGAATTCAAGAATTCCAAGCATCCATGACTCCACTAGTGCTTGGGTATCATAGGCTATATCCTAGTCATTACGATTCCATCCTATTTCCTCATGACTATCAAAAACCAAACTTTAAAAAATTCAATGGGGTTAATGGGTCACCCCAAAAGCATGTTGCTCACTTTTATTCAACATGTGGGGAGTCAGTCTTGTCTGATGCCTTGTTAATAAGGCAATTTGTGCAATCCTTAAAAGGGTCAATATTCACTTGGTACACTCAATTGCAGCCAGGTTCGATCATCACATTGGATGATATGCAAAGGGTTTTCTTAGCCCAATTTGTTAGTTCAAAGAAGAAAATCTCAATAATTGACCTTGCAAATGCTCGACAAAGAACAAATGAAAGTGTTAATGACTTCATTACAAGGTGGAGAAGTCTTAACCTTCAATGCTCTGAAAAGCTAAGTGAACAATCTACAGTTCAAATGTGTTCCAATAATTTGGTTGTAGAGATTGCAACATTTGTAGGCATGGCAGAACCCCAATCATTTGACGCTCTTGTCTCCAAAGCTAGCAATGTTGAAAGACAAATGGCCTGACAAAAAAATGTGCCTCAGAAATCTCGAATGAGTGAAGAAAAGAAGTTCGATAATAAGAAGCAAACAATGAAAGATGAGGCCATGCCTACATTTTTCAATGTCAATAAGAAGAAAGAAAATGGAAAAGGAAAGGAAGTCCCTAAAAATGGGAAAGAAACTTCTAGAAATCCCTCTTTAAAAGAAAGAAAGGAAGTGAAGTACACTTTCAAAGATGATGATGTGGAAGAAATTTTCAACTCATTGCTAAAGGCTAAGGCAATAAAATTACCAGAGCCTATGCAACTGTATGAGGTTAACAAGACCGATGATCTAAAATTTTGTCAGTACCATTGGATTTTGAGTCATTCTTTGCAGGATTTTTATGTCCTTAAGAATAGTATTCAAGCAATGGTGAATAAGGGATACATTGAAATACAAGAGTCCTCCACTGCTACCATTTCAAAAAATATTTTCCTAGTTGAAAACGAGCCTATCCCCACTGTCATGCTACCAAAGGGGGCAATCCGAGTTGCTTTTGTTGTCAACGGTGAGGTTACCTATCGGTATGCTTATTCGGACATGCCCTGTTCAAAAAATCCAACAATTTCAACACTTAATAAGCTTATGACATAACCAAATTTGGATTGTTGGAGTGATTCTTGTAAATCAAGAGATGAGTGGCAAACACATGTCAGCAAGAGGACAAATACTTTATCCCCAAGTCTCAAATCTTCAGGCCGCCCAGGAATAATGTTTCAAGGGAAAAAGGTGCATAAGAAAAACAAGAAAATGAATAAGAAGACTCAAAAGAAAACTCAAGTCCATTTGGAGGATGAGTACGTCCAGCCTAAGAGGGTACCAATTACTCTTGAAGAGTATTTACCCACTGAATTCTTCAAAGAGGAAAATGTTGAAGAATAAATAGTGATGAAATGTTGAATGGCCACATGCAAGGAAAGTGATTTATTTGACCCCGAGGTCGACGAGATTACCTTACGTTCTAGACTATGCCTTCTATCACCTCCGAAAGCTCTACCACAAAAAAAGGTTGTCGAACCCTCATTTTTAAGTTCTCAAGGTCAAGCGCCAAATGAATCATCTGAATATGGGGAAGCTATTAAGCCTAATGGTAACCAAGGGGCACCAGTAAAGTAATGATCTAGAAATGCATCATCTCCTGTCCTTGCACATCTAAAACGCATTCCAGCACTTTTAAGTGTGTATAATGCTCTACAGCAGTCTAGAGAGCTTAGAAAGGTGTTAATTCAAGCATTAATGAGTCCGGATCTCTACGTTGGTATGTGCTTCATGTATGGCCTGCAATACCTTCACCGATGATGATCTTCAGTTGGGGCTGGAATATCACAACTGTCCTCTTTATGTCAATGGAAAAACTGGAGACACTCAAGTGAATCAAATTATGCTTGATTGTGGTTTAGCTATAAATCTACTTCCTCTAAAGACATTTCATGCCTTGGCTATGTTAGCAAAACATTTGTTACCACCCATGCTAACAATTCAAGGCTTTAATCAAGTAAGGCAAAGAACCCTAGGCACTATCGAAGTGAAGATTGAAATTAACGATTTTCACACGAAGGCCATTTTCCTTGTCATAGATGCTGATACGACATACAATGCCTTGTTAGGACATCCACGGCTGCATGTTAATGGTGTCATTCCCTCCACACTCCACCAATTTTTCAAGTTTTATAAAGACAGGGAGGAAAAGACAGTGGTGGCAAACCTGAATCCATTTGGGAGTGAAGAGGTGAACTGTGCTGATGCCAAGTTCTATAAAATGACAAATTCTTATTTTTCTACTGATAACCGAAAGGATAAAGGAGCTATAATGAGGAATGAGAGTAGCTCTAAACCATCAACTTCTCAATCATCAAAAGCTTTAAAAGTTATCCGAGTCAAGACAACTCGTAAAAGGGTCCAAAAATATCAAGTTTCAATTGCACTAAAGGAAATATTGGTTCTAAAGTATGTACCAAAAGAACAAGGAAAATTAAAAGAAGAAGTTTTTACTTCATTTCGAGATACAATGTCGTCACTTACTATAAGTTACACATGTCCTCTTCGAAGGATAAATCAATCAATCCCTGAAGAAATTGTAATCTCAACCACATTTGGAGAGGAAGAAAGTCAGACAAAGAGATTTGTTTTCTTTAAAGAAAGAACATCGAATTTTTCTTCATCATCATCTCCATACAATTTGGGACCGCAAAAGAGTAATTTTTTCTTTAAGAAGGGGAAAAAGAAAGTCATAACTCGCCAGAAAAATGACATTACCAAGACTTCATCTTCCAAAGCAATAGTTTCAATTATAAAGAACAAGTTATGTTCACTAAAGAGGAGGGTGGCAAAATGTCTCGATTTTCAATTTTTCAACAGCTTGGAGGTTATTCAAAGCCTACATTCCAAAAGTCCAATGTGAACAAGAAATGGAAGCTGAAGTAGAAAATTCAAAGGAGAATTTTCATGAAAAATGTTGAGGAAGTTAAAACAGAAGAAAATCTAGAAGGGATTGTACAAGTCAATTGTCCTTCCTCTGAAGAAAATCAAACAAAAGATTCTTTGGATACGAAAGAGGAAGACAATCCCATTCTAGAAGATGATCTAGAGTTCAAAAATAATGTTCAACCAGCGCCTCCTTAAATTGAGGACAGAGGATAGGCCACTGTTGATGAGCTCAGAGAAATAAATCTTGGTATAATTGATGATCCTAAGCTCGTCTTTGTTAGTGCTCAACTCTCTCTGGAAGAATTAAATGATTATGAGCACCTTCTTTGAGAATATCAGGACGTCTTTGCTTGGGGCTATCAAGACATGCCAAGATTAGATCTAAAAATTGCAGTTCATCGACTGGCTATATCGGACGATAAACGCCCTATAAAGCAAGGTCAACGTCATTTTCAGCCAAAACTAATTGTGCAAATTGAATTTGAGGGGATAAGCTGAAAAGTGCTAGTTTTATTCAAGAATTTTGATATCCCACTTGGCTCACAAATATTGTGCATGTTAAGAAAAAGAATGAACAAGTGTGCATTTGCATAGATTTCAGGGATCTAAATGATGCATGTCCTAAAGATGAGTTCCCATCCCCGATTACTGATCTACTAGTGGATGCAAACATGGGGTTTGGTGCTTTATCTTTTATGGATGGCTTCTCAGGTTAAAATCAAATAAAAATGGCACCCGAAGACGAGGAACTCACGACATTCCGTACTCCAAAAGAAATTTACTATTACAAAATAATGCCATTTGGATTGAATGGTTATGGCTTGACTAGAGGATGCATTTGCATTATTGGCTTCCTATGGATAGGCTCGTGGTGCTGACATTTTTGGTAGCCTCTTCCATACTCTATGTAACCCTTCAAAATACTTGGCCAATAATAATCATATCTTCTAATTAACCATTGCATCTTGATGTGCGCCACGTATGCCTTCATGACTCTCGGCCTCTTCTGTGCTAATGCACCTAAGTAATTGGTCACCGTACATTCATTTCTCATATAGTTCTCCATCCACAAGTATGTAGTTTGTGGCCCATCTTCTAATGTCCTGCTCCACATCCCTAATTGGATACTTTAGAAACTGCATAATGTTGAACCTCTAATCTTCCTCTTCCACCTCCATTGTTATTCTTCAAAGTTCATTCCTATGGTTCTTTTGGATGGAAGAATTCTCCATTAGAATCATCCATGCCATGAGGAATCATTAGACCTGATCCCAAGTGGGCTAAGTTATTAACCTTGCCATTCATTTCTCTTGGGACGGCTCGCAATGTCACATCGTCAAAATTTGTCAACAAAGTCATTGCGATGGAGTGGAATGGGCACAACTCCCAATTTTTGCATTGGAAACCGCCTATGACCTAGTTAATGAACTTGGAATCACTAATTATTTCAATCCTTGATGCTCCCATTCCTAACAAAACTTCAAGCACAATGATTAATGTTTTATATTCAGCTTGGTTATTAGTATAATTGAACTCTAATTTGAATGATAATTGGGTTTCGCAACGCCTTGGGGTGATTCAATTTAAACCAGCCCCTCTAGATTCACTCGTCCTTGACCCATCGAATCTTAATTTTTGACGTCATTAATGACACTGTTGAGAACTCAACATTGTATTATTCTATAGTTTAACACATTCGTTTTAGGCTTGCTAGTGAACTAATTTGTTTTACTTAGTGTATTTTGTGTCTTATGCTATGATTTATGTGTTTGCAGGTAATTTAGGTGTAAGGTAAAGATTAAGCATTAATAGGATAGCAATTGATAAATTGGGATTGGTTTTTCTTGCAAGAAGATGAAGTCAGGAGCCTTGGAAGTCATTTTGGAAGAAAACTGATAGGAGTTGTTACGTAATCTCGGGGTTGGGGGGCAAAGAAGGTAGCCACCGGTTACTATTTTTGTGGCACATTAGGATGAAATCATTCAAGAACATGTCGGCCTTATGATGAGAAGGGTTTCTAGGCCGACATACCACAAACCTTATTCAGACTAGGTGGACGGGGAATATGAGTATCCATGAGGGTACAAAGTTCCAGTGTTCACTACATTTTTGGGTGAAGATAGTTAGTCGACCATTGAATATATTAGCCGCTTCACCTTCCATTGTGGTGAGGCCGAGGCTAACGAATTCCTAAAGTTGAGGCTATTTTCTAATTCCTTGATAGGATTAGCCTTCAAGTGGTACATTGATTTGCTGCCCAACTCCATGTTGACCTAGCAATAGCTTGAATATAAGTTCCACACTTAGTTTTGCCACACAAAGTTGGAGGTCGCCATGGCTGATTTGCCCAAGTTATGTCAGATGACTAGAGAACCAGTAGAACATTATATTATACGGTTCAAAAAAGGCAAGCAACCAATGTAGGTTGGTATTGCCCAAGATGGAGTATGTGTGGATTATACATAATGGTTTAGGATTTGAGCTCCAAAAGAAGTTTAAAGGTATGGAGTTCAACTACCTTTTCAAGTTGGCCATGTGAGCTACCTGATACAAGCATATCCTGTACAAAGAGCTAGACCAAAGAAACATGTCCAAAGGAATATATTATAGAGATCCCAACACTGAGATTTTTATGGTTGAGCCAGATCGGAAGTTAGAGGTGAACATTGCCAAGATCGTTGCAAGGTAGTTGCACATGTGTAAGGCTTTAACCAAGCCTCCAGAGAATCAAGCATAGGTCTCACCAAGTGTTGATAAATGTGTTAGTGGTGGAGTCAGTCGAAAGTTCGACTTTGACATTTCTAAGGTGATCAAATTTTTGATCATCTGCTTGCTGATGGCATCATCAAGTTGTTGTTTGGTCACAAGATCCCATTGACCGCAAAGCTGAAGAACAAGACGTACTATAAATGGCACCATCTGTAGAGCCACTCTACGACCAACTATGTGGTTTTCAAGAACACCATTTAGAATAATTTTACAAAGGGCCACTTGATCTTCCGAGATAAGGGAAAACCAAAGATAGGGGTTGATAAGGACCTTTTTTAGAAGGCAACAACAATTAATATGGTGGAAGTATGACAATTAAAAATGCCCATGAAGAAGGTTGAATTGAGCAAAGATAGGTCAATAGATGATGAAAAGTCGAGGGGGGAGAAAGATGATGCACTCATGGAGAAGTCATTAGAAGAGGACTTCAAAGCATAATTACACATATCGACAGGACTCCAATAACAACTCGATATGGTCAAGAACGATTTATGTCCCAAGTGCAAAGCTTTTTATAGGATAATTTTGGAATATGAAGTTATCAAGGAGGAATGAGTTAAATTGTCCAAGAGACCACGAAAGAAGTGGCACTACAAAGGAACCTACTGGGAATGATCAGGTGAGTGGCCGCTACCTAAACAAGGTCAAGAGGATCAGCTAGGCAAGTTTATAAGGTCAAGCTACAA